TGAAGCCCCTGAAGTAGTCTATACACACCAATTCAGCAGGATATATTTGTATTAATAGTACACTAAAAATACATTACTCTTAGTGCGATTGCTTACTTTGATTGCCCTAAATGTAAACCTGTAACCTACATGACGTTTTAAACCTTTCTCTTCGTTGATACACATTATCCGAATAAAATAATTAAAACTTTAATATTATAATATAAGGGGAATGTTTTAATCAACCAAGAGAAGTTAAAAATGTTAAGTACCCAAACTGTGTTCTGCAAAGGCCTATATTATTATATTTCAATGAAGTGTTCTATAAAGGTGCTTAGACAAAGATTTGAAGTTAATATTTCTCAAATTTCTGAAAATATCATGATGTATATGTTTCTCTTGTATGTAACACAGTAATAATGTCATTTTATCTGGAAATTATTGAACTTCGATTTTGGGAGGTGTTTGATTTATACATCCTTGCACTCTCAAAGAGTAAACTTCATCTTTAATACTTAAGAAAATTATAAATTTTGGAGTTGATGAAAAATATTGGCAGTCCGTGCTAAGTTTAATAATTGAACACACCCGTTGAAACAGTATAATGTTTTGTAAACAGAGCGCGAGCTCTGTTATTGTTAATGTTTACGTTTCATAAGACATAAGAAAATTGAGAAAATGTTGACTACAAATCTGTGTTCAAACAACTTTAAAATTAAAACTTGTCCTTCATTTAGGGTGATTCACCATGTGCATCGCAGTTCTAGTGATATCGATAACGGGATATTTTCAAAATGGACTTCAACATTTAGTATGAGGATGTGTTTAAAATATGAATTTGATATTCTTTTAATTGCGAAAATATCACTTAAAACCAACTTTTTGGGAATGACTCAAAATTCACCATGAATTTGACATTATTCACCATGTACGATGGTATTTAGACCGGAAATTATCGTATCTTAATCATAGTGCTTTAACATTATTGATATGGATAAACATTTACCTTTTATTTTTTAAAAAAACTCTCAATTAGATTGAATTGACGATACCGTTACACAAATGTGGGAAAATTCAAGTTTCCTCACTTCGACTTTAAAATGCTTGTAATGGGACACTTCGCGCCTAATTCCCATGGGTTATCATACTCTGCTTTGTAGAAATCAATTGAGGTAGATTACACATGTTACGACATAAATCAATTACTTGTATTTTCACAGAAAATTTCGAGTTTTTATTATCTATTTCCACCACAAACAACTGTAAGTTGGGTTCTGTATGAAAATGAGAGTGAATACCCATGTTTCGGAAAGTCCGATCGGATGTACGATGAAATGAACATAAAAGTAAAAAAAAAAACTCTAAAAAGAATCACACAAACATTGGTACGCATGGAAATTCCAATAGATTGTTGGAAAATATTGAGGAATTCCCCACAATTAACTAGATATTTTTTAATTAGACTATTTTTGGACAAAAAATAATAAAGTTCAATATTGCATGGCAACAATTATGATAAATACTAAACTAAAGTATAGTTTCTCCGACTAATCTTTATTTGACTCTCCTATTTAATTGCAAACCAGTGTTGTGTCCTAAAAATCTTCTTTAAAGAATTAAAAACAATTATATAGTAGTATAGGAGTTTTATTCTTTGATTTAGCCAACAAATTATGCATGCATTAACCATCCGGAAAATGATGACCTCGCACGATTATTACTAATAATAGATCCTATTACAGGCTCCTGCGTGCGCACGAATACGTGGTCACCAACGTTTGCGTGAGTGATGACTGATTCACTCCCTGTCCCCCAATGATCAACTCTTTGTGTTTCAGAAGATGCACATCCAATAGCATTCCCATTTACAATTATTTCGACACTTGCCCATGACCGGACAGTTACTTTCAATGACCAGTGAAATGCGTATGTCCCCGTAACAGGTACAATGAAAACTCCACTGTGTTTACTATATCCATTTCCTTCGTTTATTATGACTGTGTCGAATGTAAGGGTCACGTGAGCGGGAATATTAGGCTGGGAAAAGGAATTCATGTAGGCATAGAATGCGACATGCTGTGCAGTTGAAACTGATGTTGGAGGAACTGAAATATTTTTTAGAAAACATGACTATAAAACGTAATATCCATCGTAAGTGTTTTATTATTAATTTTAAAAGACGTTTTTGTTGAAGACTACTGTCTAATTGAAAAAAAATACTTTTTTGAAGGACATGAATGATTGAAAGAAAAAAAGGATTGTTATACATACTGATTCTTGGCACAATTCTGCTTGTTTCAACCATGAGTGTATCACTTATGGTATTTTTATTTTTTATTGTCACGTTCGAATTGGTTTCCTCTATTCTTCCGTTTTCGTTGCCTTTAGCTTGTTGAGAGAAAGTTGAGTGTTTTCCTATATTCAATACATCAGATTCGTTCGTTATTTTTGGAACACCAGAAATCATCTTCAAGGCAATATTTTCCCGTTGAATTTTCCCCAACAGCCCTTTTATTTCTTTAATTTCTGTTTTGAGATTGCAGTTTTCATTCTTAAGTTCCTTGTTGGCTTCTTCTTAATCCCGCAAGCAGTTTTCAATACCTTCCATCCAGTTGTGGTCAAACCTACCTTGGACATGAAAAGGTAAAAGAACAGATAGAATTCAGAGGAGTCCCTTTTGTGTCATGTTCACAGCAGTTAATCTTAGTGTAAAATTAGGAACTGCATATATATCTACGGCAATCCTTTACTATTACCTGATATGCATGTTTTAGTAAAGGTACATAAAGGTTTCAAAGATAAGGAATTGTGTCGTCTTTAGACAGATTTGTGCATATATATAATTGTGTACTTCATGATCTTATCTTTTTTGAAATCGTTTGACGCGAGTGTACTTTTTTCAATCCCTGAACAATGTTCGGCACAGTATTTTAAATAATAACACTGTTGTAATTAACATGAATTCATTAATTGTTTACATAATATACAATATCTCACTTGTGATCTTTATTGTTTTATTGAGTTGTGCCATTTTTAGGGAAACATGGATGACCTTTAAAACTCACAAATTTTAGTTTCAATCTCTATTTTAAGACCACTAATTATTTATCAACGAAATATTTTTTTTGTTGACCTTCGTTGTCATTATTCTCCCTTTTAAAATAAAGATTTTATTTATCAAATCTTCTTTTTCTTGAATTGATTAGCTTTTTTCAAAACATTAAATTTAATTTTCACTTTAGATTATGCTTTGATCAACGACACCTTATACATATTTAACTTATATATATAAGTAAGAGAAGTCCTTTCATTTCCATTACTCTATATACATACCGAGTTAAGGAATGTGTACAAATTTTACAAGCTAGTACATACTATGCGGCAGTGCAGAGAACCAAAAGCTTTAAAGATTATAGATTATGACAAATCAAAACAAATTAAAGCCCTTGTATTACACGTATGAATCTCAGCATTTAAAATATTCTTCAGATATTTTTATAAAATACATAAAACATTACTATTCTTACAATACTTAATAACAAATTCTGCAAAATCTATGACATCACGAGAGGACGGAAATGCATTATAATTGTATCACTGAGTAAAATTAACATTTTTGAATTATAATAACTTTTCAATATACCAAATTTGGACTTTTATCTCTTCTATATCTGTTTACTATGTGCTAATATTGAATTAGTTGTGTTTTATTTATATCGTTCCCTTTGAAGCAGGATTATGCCAGTCTAATCGACACTCGGTGACTCTGTTAAAATAATCTACTCATTAGGTGTTAATACCTCGGGTTTGTTAATCCTGCATCAATAACTTTATAACCTCTTTCATGCACGCTCTGTCAAAGAATCATCAACTGTCCATCAATTAACTCACCTAGTGTCATAAATCAATTATTGTTAACTCTTAATTTTACAAATATCTATGTCCATTATAATCTCTTCAGTTTGGAGGCCCGATGCTCTACCGGCCACATCCAACTCCATCAAGTCTCGTAAGATATTGTTAAAATTCATGTTTGTTACTCACCATCGTCTTTAATAAATCCGGAATCCGGAAACCTGATTAACCAATTCTTGGACTTTATGTTGGAAGACCATAAGGAATACGGCACCTTTACCCTTATGTTTTATTACGGCCCCACAGCGCCACTACTTTGTTATACCCGCCAACATTCCTTCTTCCCAGTTCACGTTAAACAACGGATAAAGCCCAGGAATCAAGTATTCATAATTTATAGCCAAAATCTAACTGGTTATAATTGCAACTTCATTTTTATTTAAGATCATTCAAATTCAGCTTTAAACTAGACCTGATATGTCTTGAAATGTTCTTGACAGCTTTCAATGTAATTATTCTCATTCTGAATGATTTTTTTCGTTATTTACCGATAATGATAAGGAGCACTGGGCACGTGTGAACGGTTGGTCGGCGGAGGATGTTCACTCCTCCATGCCACCTGGTCCCACCTCTGATGTTTTGAGATCCGTGTTTTCTTTGCTCCAAAATTTGTATTGATTAATGGACAATTGAGTGTCGATCTCCATACATTTCAATCATGGTATTTGACTTCCAAATTAATGATTGAAGCTCAAAAGCAATACATTGTGGTTAGAATTACATTATGCAAGACAGGATCAATTAATTGATATATTAGAACTATTCAACATTCGCTTACCATGGAATCAAATCCGCACATGCCAACAGTTTTTCCTCAAGCCTGGAATATGTGATACCATGGAAATTTGTGATTGTTTAAAATTAAATATTAATGGGGATAAATGTTTTTTATGTTAAATTGATAGATCAACACTCAACAAATAACAAGTCATGTTATGCCCGAATTTCGACAAAATAAAAGTACTTTTTCTCCTCATCTTACTTTACTTTAATTTACTTACTGTTATAAAATAATTATCCTCTAAATGAACCAAAAGTGGTTTACACTTAAAGTCAATTAACAGACACATAATATACAAGTTTTTCATATTATTTATTGTATGCAGTCAAAATTCTAGCGTCTCCAATTAAATTATCAAACATTTTTAAAAAGAACTGTTAATGAAATTAAGATAAAATCAAAATCTTTCTAGTTTTATTTACCACAGGTATTTCATATAATCGATCTTTTAGTCAGTAATATACATTGTATTTCCTTTATATTATAAACGTTCTTTCCTTTCAGGATTCTTGTTCCCTCCAAACTTCGTATAAACAATAGCTTAATTAAAGTTAAGGTTTAGCAAATAGCAACTGTGTACTGAAATAATATAAATGTAGTTTGCTTTTTAAACTTTCTAAAAGACTAAATATCTTTTAAGCATATTAAAGTGATATTCAGAATGTGTCAAAAACACCACTTCTGTGCTTGACGTAATTAAGCAGGTTTACCAAATTTAAGAACAGAATAAGACAGGTTCTTCTGAATCATTAATGTATAATTTTTCTCTAGAAACGTCGTTGAAGAATTGCCACTTTAACAACTTTCATAACAAAATGTTTAGGTTCCTTACAAGGTTCTTGTGCAAGATAACATCAGGTTGTTGTTCCCTGAAGCTTACTATTTCAAATCACTTAAATTGTCAACATCACAATATTTTGTCGCTTCGATTTTGTAGCCAATTTGAAAACATTAAAGAAATCGAAAGTTAATGGCAATTTTAAAATTACAAATGAAAAAAAATAATAAAAAATAAATATCAATACCATTAATATAAAATGAAATACATAATAATAAAAGAAAATATGATAATGATATATTACAAAGAGAAACAAACCAGATATTTTAGGAACACATAATCAGACCTTAATATAATGTTTTTTACTGTTTTTGAAGATTTTGCTGTAGGCTTACTATCCTACGGCCGGTGTTACAAAAGAACATACAGTCAACACCAAAAACTTAAAAACGTACAATTGTAAAATTTTGCAAATTTAATAATTCTGTTCGAAATTGTACTATAAAAAAGTCATTCTTAATTCTAAAAAATATCCTTTTTCAAATTTTTATGTAAGAAAAAGAATTCTAAATTTGGGACAACTATAATCTTAAGTTCTTTTGTTTAACATACTCTGGCTTTACAAACTTTTTAAAACATCTGTTGCATGTTCTAAAATCTAATAAAAACTATAAAAAATTTTCAACCCTTGCCAATGAAATGCATTGCACTACACATCTTTAGACATAAAGGATACTTCTCTTTGAATGATGGGACGTACACTTCAAACTTTGAGAACTTCATACCCAGATGTTTGATATCATCCTCATACTTACCCAGGAATTCAGTGGCAGATACAGTGTTACCCTGAAACGGATAAAAAATTAATTCAAAAATTACAATATTAGAGAAATAGTTTTCTTAAGACAAGAAATGTTTGTGAAACACTTATGTCCCCTCCCCAAAATAATTGAAATTTTTCTAAGTCCAAGGTGCATATTTCTATCAGAAATGGCTCGATCGTACCCAAAACAGGACTTGACCTAGATATTCTGATGATAAATTTGTTTACAAAATTTCATTACAGTATGTGCAACCACTGCGAAGAAAATGAAGGGAAACTTGGTGAACTGACGAACATCGACAGACTGACCGATCGACAGACAGTAGCAAAGCAATATGCCCTCCCTCCTTCAAAGAGGGGCATAAAAATATGCATTTCGTTATTTTGGAAATAAATCCTTTAGAAAGAAGTCTATTAAATAAATAACGAATACATCCTTCAATGCTTTGACAATTTAAACTTTATACATGTTTAAAATAATAGTGTACCCGAGACAGGTATTTTCCGTGCGGTTTGAGAATTTTCAGTGATAGCTCTAGAATAATGCACGTTGTTTCAAAATCATAGGCAAACTTTGCTGAAACAAAATATTCAAAAACTATTAATTAAAAAAATTAAACCTTTCTTGCCATCTTCCTCAAGTGAAATCATAGGGTTAAGTTCAATTAATATTAATATAATCATACTATTTTTACACAAGAGTAAATGCGACGACAAATCATGTTATGTTAAAATTCCTTTTCTTTTAACATGTTTAAATATACAGAACTTTATTTTTTTGTAAAATAGATTGCCAAAGCAAATGAAGAAACTATCATTATCAGTATTTTGTGAAATTACTATTTTCTGCGTTGATTAAATATTCGCTGAGATCATTAATGACGTAATCAAACTTCCGACCCTCTTCTTGACATTCCTGAAGAACTTTCAAACAGTCGTCAAACTGAATCTAAAACATAGGTAAGGTCTATACATTGTAACTGTTTTCTATTGTGCGTCTATTAGTTCGATTATATTACATAATAAATTATTGAAGTTGAGGGTTTATTTCAAATAATTTGCTAAATCATAATGAAAATAAAAAAAGACTTACCATATTCTAAAGGGACGAGTGTATGAGAACAAATTAAAATATCACCTTATAGTTAGGTCCTTCGAATGAATCCATCACTGATTCACAAATCTTGCGCATATGAGTTCTACAGGCCAGCACAACATCTTGATCAATCTATGGGTAAAGATCAATATAATATATATCTAAACCTTATGACTTTGAGAAATTTATAATCTGCTCCCGATTTGCATTGGTAATTACTGGTAAATATCCAATTGTTATTCAAGTGTTATTATCTTATTCTAAATGTTTACTTGGAAAAAGAAATGAAAATTGACAAATTTATAAAGATGCATACCTCCACCATTAGCACGTGTCTAGGGTTCTTTTTCTGCAATTCATACAGCAGTCCCCCATCTCCTCCCCCTAGAATTAGAACTGTTTTATCCCGGAAATCATTGCGCTCGATGCCCAGTAACGTCTGCGTGTATATAAGATCACTCTCTCCGATCACTGAAAAGCCAACGCGAAAGTTCTTCAATTATAATCTGATAAAGCAAAGTTACTGTTTAATTTCAATTTTAATGATTTTGATGGGCTTTTCGAACTGCCTGTGAAATTGAACCCCTGTAAACTTGCTTTTTTCTGTATCGATATAAGAAAGTCTTATAATATAAAGGACATAGCGATACGACACCAGTTCCTTTAAATAGAGATTATATAATATCCTTGTAATTAGAGCATGACTTGCTGCAATTACAATATAGTTATATCATGTTATTAAAAACAAATGCATATAATTCGTTTGCAACATAAAAAATGTCACCTATTTAACGTACTTATATCATCATCCAAACAAAGGAAATGTCCAACACCAGGATTGTGGTAGATTTTGATGTTCTGCCATTTGGAATCTTTCTCAAACACGAGCTTCAGGTTTTCGTATTCAAAGAGTGTGTCGCTTCCGGATGAAAAGTATGGAGTTAGCTCCCCTCGTTTTATTTCTCCAGGCAAACTGTAATAGATAATACTTAATTGTGATTCTTTATTTTTCATTATGATTTCATTGATTAACAAGTACATATATTATTACTTACCATTGTATCTTGACCTGTTATACAAGGAGAGGGTATACATAGGCCTTGCCTGTTGCCCAGTCCTTATTTAATTATTCAATAAAATATGTTTAAAGTATAAACTGTAATAGATTAAGGATATTTACTTTGACGTTTACAGAATGAATGACTCAATGAACGTACTAATTAATACTTGTGATGATTACTGTACATGTACAATGATTTTACGTAATACCTGCTTGTTTTTCTACATAACATTGAATCAATGAGCTGACTGTTAGATTACTAAATTTATACTTACACACAAATCAGTTAGCTTTCTTACTACTTTATATGTACATGTAATGACTTCCGATCAATTAGTAAATAAGCTGACGGATAACATACTTTTAAAAAAAAATTCTTAATTACTTTACAATGAGTCAATAAGTTAATTTAATTCATACTTGTGAAAAGTTAAAAAAAAGAACCTTACTGATTGCATATACGTCACGTTTATTTTAAAATGAGTAAAGGAGGTAACAGATCACATACTTTTGACAGATTAATGAGCTTACTGATAACATATTAGAATCGCGCCCCCTCCCTCTTTGTAATATAAGGAAATATTTTGGGACAGGTTTGACAAGAAAAATTACATGTAGCATTATATTTGTCGATTAAATTTAGCGAAAATTGCACGTATTTTTCATATATAAACGAAGGCTTGCTCTGGTTACAAATAAACAACATACATCATTAATTACTTGTGCAGTTACTGTACGAATCTCTTAATACATGCCTAGTGAAGATTAATTGTCAATTATAAACTGATTATTTACCATCTGCTGTACTTGCAGAGATCTCCAAGAGACTCACGGATCTTCATCTCCAAGTTCTTTGCGGCCTGAAAATTAACACAATCAATTTTAATCTACACAATCAATTTAATTTAGCAGTAAAGCTTTAATTTGAAAAAGCAACAAATCGACCAGATCTTGTTTCTAAACCGTACCACCTAATCTGCTTTTATTACATGAAATATACAATCAAAATTACTCTTGGCTGACGTCATGTATTTATAAGTAATTCAAATATGAAATTGTACATTTATATTCACAACAGCATCAAAACACTGTATATTTCATGGCTATACCGCCATGGCATTTTTTTTAATAACATTTGGGCATTTAGTGTCTTTATCTCTTTTATACCAAACACAACTTTTTATCTTACTGTAATTTCATCATGGAGAGTGTCTGGACTTTTCTCTGCTTTAAAATGTTGAACATCCACTGTTATCAAACCATTGGCATAGCAATGAACCACCACGTGGCTAAAAAGGAAATAAATGAATCGTTTTTTATAAAGTCTATAAAAATAGGAAATACTTGACATGTGTGCTTGAAATTCTATTATTCATATCACTATTCACGTTTTGTCTCAGCATTCCCAAAATTTTATGACTGACATGATGACCTTTTTTTAAAAAAAGCTAATACAAAGTTTAAATATTGCCTGACGTGTCTCAAATAAGGTCATTATTTACACATTGATTACTGTTCCCTTTTCTTGATATTTCATTAAAAATACTCAAAAAATTGATTGGTCTTTAGAAAAGTATACTATCTTTAAATAGCGCATTTTATAGTTCTGTTACATGTTAAATGTTAACACCTTTCCTCTAAAATTACAATCTACTAAATATATTTTCGGATTTTCCTTTTCATTCCCAGGTGGATCTCCACCGATTTCCCGTTTATTATGATACAAACGCCAGTACCTTCCCTCTTGATTGGTCGATAACAGAACATAACCACCCAGTGAGGAGGGACTATTCTCCATGCAGTTTAACTCTCCATCCATACACAGGCTAGGTATGACTCTCACGGCCTTCAATATACCTTGAAGGAAGACAAGAAAAATATGAGCTTATTTTTAAAATGTGGGAGTTATGAATGAAAATTCAAATCAGAGAGAGAGAGAGAGAGAGAGAGAGAGAGAGAGAGAGAGAGAGAGAGAGAGAGAGAGAGAGAGAGAGAGAGAGAGAGAGAGAGAGAGAGAGAGAGAGAGAGATTGTTGAAGTTATAATAGCTTTCTTTTTTAAATTGTTCAAAATGGTAGAAGTTTTCACATTTCCATTTATCAATGCATTTTCTATAATCAGTTATAGTCAGTTTATGTGCATTATGTGCTTACCATCATCCATTCGGATCCCTTCGTACAACTGGAAGCTCATCATGATGTTCTTTGCCGCCATGTTCTTTTCCTGTCTCTACATTCGGTACTTTCCGTTTCTCGTCTTTTATCCAAACCATGAACGTGTTTTAAAATGTTATCCTTTTTTTCTCTTGGATTTACTTATTGTCTTCTAAACATTTTTTTTTCAAAAAACCTGTGAAATTTAATAAATCAATTATAAAGACATTAGAAAGAATGGTCAAAAAATTGATTGTTCGGACGAGACCAGACGTCAGAATTTCTATCAGAAGACCTCAGCAAAGGATTCGCTCATGACAATCACGGAAAATATAGTTTTGAATTAAGGTTCATAAACCCTCTGCTCACTCATATAAAATGTTGCTTGAACCTTATTGATTTTCCAATAGAAATGTATTTTGTAAGTAAAATACAAACAACTGCGACGAAAAAATGGACAAAAAAGACACTTCAATTTGGCAATCTCTCTTATCAGACTATCAATGAATCTTAATTATATAATGTTGAACAAAAATAGACATCTGTATTGTTAAAGAAAAGATTTTGACATCTGTTTTTATGAAAAAGATATAACAAATTTTCTATGCTCCTATGATCTGAATATCACTGAATACATGTTATTAATACTTTAGAAAACTGTACACAAATTGATTAAATTATGACATACTGAATATGCCTTCACCCTTATTCGAAAACTGATAATAAATGAATTTTATATAAATAAATGAAATAAATTTCATAATTTAATTTTTTTCAACTGAAAATTAAGAAAATTTGAAGGCAGAAAAACTAACACGAGAATGAAAAAAATGTGATGTGCTTACCTGACATTACTTAAAGATAACTTTTCACGGTATGCGGATGTTAAAACCCACAAAACAAGTAATATGCAAACTGCATGAATATCATTTGATCATGAAGCATCAAAAAAAGATTTCTGTGTCATTTTAAAGTGCAGTTGTAATGTTTATTTGGTTCAGTGGAGAACAATGCAGGAAAAAATTATCCTGATTCGATGAATTTGGATTTTAAATGTTCGGCTTGATTTATCATTTAAAAAAAAAATTTACTGAGACCTGAATGTTTAAATTTATAGACCTTACCATACGTAACAGAACCGGTTATTTTTTTCATGGTTTGTACAATGTAAGGACTTTTTAATTTTGCATGTAAAACAATAGAATTTGTGTTAACGATACATCAATCATAAGTCCGCATCACATCTATATGAATTATTCTTTTCTTCTTTTTAATTTAATTCTTTAAAAAATCTATTCTTAAAAAAGTATTCAAATACTTGTTTTTGGAAATTGTATTACTTAATATACAGGGGATGCTCACTCCTCCCTGGCACCTGATCCCACCTCTAATGTTCTGGAGGTTCGAGTTTAACTCTGCTCCTATTTTGTATTATTTTATGGACTTTTGAGCTTGTAAACTGTTCGTTATCTCCATATATGTCATGTATAAAAATTAAATATTTACAGTTTACTAAAGCAAATTTTCGAAATTTCAAGCCCAAAATAAAAAAAATTATTTTGGTAAGGAAGACATGCAATCGTCAAGTACTTAAAATCATAATTCTTAAAATTCTTTAAAAAAAGGGGGGAAAGGCAAAATTATTGATGTATCATGTTACTAAATATTCTATCATCATTATTCACAGCCAAATTATTTCTGAGTACCTACAACACTTTATGTATTCAATGAATTGCAATTGAATTGAAAATGATTAATTATGAAAGAAAAAGAAACAAGCAAAAAAAAAAAAAAAAAAAAAAAATACCCTCCTTAGTTACATAACATGAAACATAATTTAATCGTCATGGTTAATAAATACACAGGGGATATATTTTATAATTTCAATGATTTTGTCTTATTTACGGCTGTATTAATCGTTTTTTTTTTTGGTCGATTTAATTAACGATTAGCGTGCATATATCGTTCAATGGGTTTTGCGTTTTTCGCCAGAATTGTATGAGGTTTTGTATATACTAAGTATTATAAACTTCGTTTATCCTGCCGAATCACGCATGGTTCCAATTTTATTCTGTTTTGTTTCAAATTGTTGGAACAATTTCATTCGGGGATGGGAGGAGGGGCAGATTTTCAATAGGGTGCGGGTGGACACTACCAAGGGAAATTTCATCGACAAAGAGGAAAAAGTCATGACACGTCATGATTATGGGGACATTAGCATACATGTAAGCTAGTTACTTTTTCTATATAATACAATAAATTATGCCATAATTTACAAAATGAATTGTCTTCGAGCGTCATAAAGAACACACCGCAGTTGTGACCGGGGCTTGGGGGATGCTTACTCCTCCATGGCACCTGATCACATCTCTGTTTTAGAGGTCTGTGTTTGCTCTGCTCTTGATTTGTATTCTTTGATTAGACATTTGAGCATCAATACAGTTCGTTATTTATCTCAATATATTTCATGTGTTTGCAAAATTGTTAATAGACTCCCTCACGGCTCATACAGTCATTATTATAAGCTTTTGTATCCCATTTTGTGCTGTTTAGCTCAATAGAAGAACATAAATTAATAAACAAGGAAATAGTCTTAGCAAAAAACTAACAAACTATCAATTAAAAAAAGCTTACCTTGTTTTAAAACACCAGGGTCAGAATGGCGTGCTTTGCTCAAAGCATTTTGAATTAATTAGTTACACGTAAATCAGTTTAAATTGATCACAAACTTCAACAAAAGATCATTGTAAAATTAAGTTATGTCCTGTCTTGATTTCTTAAAAGATTAATTAGAACGAATGAACCAAAGGTTTAAAGATATATGAAACAGTAACTGATAATCTAGATGCTCTCATAAGATTGACCATAGTATAATGTTACCATAAAACAAAACAAGTAGAGCATGAAATAGGATAAGAACTAAACATGTAGGAGAAATTGCAATAATATCCAAAAGTATATACACATGCGAAGAATGAACACTCTGACTCCAACAGTTAAGAAGTAATGTTTAAATTTCGAGATCAGAAGCAGCATTCAAGCTCAAATCCAAGCTCACATGTCCATCAAAACAATACAAATTGGAATCAGAAGTTACCTATATTTAGAATAATATTAAACATTTTAACAAGATTTTTTTTTCTCTATTTCATTAAAACATAATTGAGGTATGTTGATTTTGTCATAATGTCAAGGAAAATGGCCACATAGGAGGATGTATCCGGTGCCCAGGAGAAAGTGTCCGGTAAACCCTTGTTTACCGGGCACTTCGGGTTTATATAAGCTTTACATATGATCTGATGTGTGAATACTAGGTTCCAAGGTAATTTTGTGGTATAAAGATAAGGACAATACTAATGGTATGAACATGCCTGAAAAAACGTCCGACGCAAGCAGAACGAACGTAGACGAAAAGTTAGAAGTTAATTTTTAGCGGGATCAGTGGAACTTTTAATATCACTTAATTTATCTGAAGCATTCCTTAATTTAAACTAATCATAATTTTTCAACATGCACGTGGGAATTGAAGCAGTAGGGGCATAAAAGACAAGTGTACCATCCATTATTTTAAGATTAATAGTAAATTGAATTTAGTAAAGTTGATTTTTCTCTTTGGCAAATATGATGGTTCATCCCAGTTTTAATTTGACTTATTTATGTTATTTGTGCAATGAGTTTTGAGCCTTATTTTAATTACTTATAATGTTTTGCGAGCGTTAGAATGCAGACTTTTCAAAAAATGAGAAGATGAATATTGACCATTGAATACAAGAGATTCCATACCATCCTTTCTCAGGAGGAAATTATTCTTGGTAATTGCATAATTTGCACTTGTTTATCAATAACAGGGTTTGCTTGTAATGAGCTTTTGAGAAAAGGGAGACGAGGAACAACTTACATGTAGCTATCAGAATTTAAAACGCTCTCGCTTCATTGGAACTAAACGAATGAAATACTTATAACGTTCTCTTATGTCATTTCGTCAATTTCTACTGGTATATCTCTCTACTTGTATAAACGTTTATCACTTTTTAAGCTCACATTGTTTTTCGCATAAATACCGTGAAATCACAAATTTTCTTGAGGGTTAATTTTCGTTGTTTTCGAGGTGTGAAGAAACCCACGAATCCGTGTCCACCACGAAATGTAAAATGTGACATACATTGATTTACTACTCAACAGTTCTACATTCACGAAATCAAATCACTGCGAACCAAGAGGTTTTCCTCAAACCACAAAATTTTGAGCCGCACGAAAATATGTGATTTAAGGACACATTGTTAAAATCCAATATTGTGTATCAAGGCAGCAAAATATATTTTAAAAGTGTTTGATTACATCATTGAATATTATTTTATTAAATAAAAACATCCTTACACATAATAATCGGTTGGACTTTTAAATACTCTATGCTGAAAAATTAAAACAATTCCAAAATGGGTTTTTAATGGTTTCTTGCCAAATGTAGCCTCTTTTTATCCCTTCCTTCCCTTGAAAGCAGTTAATTTTATTTTGCTGAAACGGACACAGTAAAGCTATCCTATATATTCTGTGTATTAAGATCCTACACTGTGTCCATTATTGAAATAAGGCGTATATTTACTGTTTTGATTCACCAAAGTAGTTTTGATAAGAACGGTGAATCTCCTGTACATACAAATGAGACGAGAAATTTTAAACATGTGGCCTGAGTCAAAACACAAGTTTTATAACTCAGACCTCGAAAGATGTTCAACAAGTTGAAAATGAAACCCGTAATTGTTCAAGAACTAGTCATTTAATAAATTTAAAAGAAGAAATAAAAAGAAACACGGAGAAATGGGAGTAATATAGCGAACACCTTGTCTATAACTTTGGTGACATTTGCACGACTCCTGTAAAAGCAATCACACACCAAGTCAATTGTTTAGAAATCACAATCTGTGGGGTTATAACAACAAGTTTAATGAAATGTGTCCATCTGTATTTCCCGAGAATATAAGTGTAATAAAGTCGAGGGAAAATAAATATTGTTTTTACAATAGATGAGAATTAAAATACGAGGAATCAAATTTAAGATATTTCTTGGTTAATGAATAGAAAAAAAATAACTCCGCCAAATTGTTTTCTG